AAATTTGAAAAAGACCTCTAAGATCATCTAGTCCAACCATTAACCCTGACATGATAATAATGATGATTATAACAGAGGAGAGAAGGATTCTTTGATCCATTTTGGTTAGGAGATGCAATATAAAAAAGGGAGGGAGTTTGACATTGTGTTTCACAGTACAGGGCACACTCAGTTTTAGAAATGTTGAAAGGATTCACAGATCGAGAAAAGTTGAGGTTGGAAAAGGCCAGTGGAGATCATCTAGAGCAACCCTCCTGCAGCTCAAAGCAGGGTCAGACAGAACTGGTTGCCCAGGATATTTTCTCTGGCCCACCTGTTCCAGGTGTTACCTAAAAGGCTGCGGAGGAAAAAAAGACTCCAGGCCAAATTAGGTAGGAGGTAAGATAGGGATACTAAGGCTTTAATGAGCCCTCAGGCTTCCAGGAATACCATCACTGTGTACTCCCGAACACAGGTGTTTACAATTTTTATAATGATTTTCACCCAATCCCCGTCCGACCACCGCCCAGATTCTGCCCCCTGATACACCTTTCAGGAATTGAGTCTGGGGGTGTTTTGGGACCCCCTCTTCTTCATCTTCCTCAGAGCACATACTGTTTTTGGAGGCCTTCCAGAGCTCTAGGCCTGAAGGTTGTTGTGTCTATGGCTATATATTCTTGGGCAGATTTTAGGGTGTTCTCTACAATTCTACCTTGAAAATGATACTAAACAGGTCAATGGAATTTAGGGGAATTCATATGGGAATGGGTAACAGGGTTTGCTATATGTAATTACTGTGTTAAAGGGTAAGGGATAATGTACTGCTACTTTAAAATCTACATTTACTATGTAACTACTTCTAAAGTCTACAAAATAAAAAAAAAAATCAAAACTCCAAGGTATCACAGGGTTCAGCCATTCTCACAGTAAGAAAAAAGAGTTTTCTCTTATGTTTAAACAGAATTCCCCATAGTTTAATTTGTGCCTAAATTGTGGGCAATATCCCTGATTCCAGTAATATTTTTGATTTCATTAACCAAAACCAGGTTTAAAGCAGTACTTCTCAGTTATGAGCTAGACAGGTTACAGCAAACATAAGCCCAGGATTTAATTTATCCAAGATAGTGTTTATGATCAGGCACTTACATGATGCCTTTATTTAGTTCCTTAAGCCTCATGACGATTGGCTGGTCCTTTTCTGGCAATTGAAGCCAGGAACAAGCACAACCTGCGGAAATGGTTTGCTGGCAAGAAATACACTGAATAAACACAAACTTGAGCTACAAGGTTATTTAATCACATAGGAGGTTTATGTTACCTAGCTGGGCATGCAGGGGGTGGATGAACCCATAGCTCTAGGACAGTATGACAAAAATGTTGAATATTAAGACAGTATCCCTGATTGCTGTGGGGTTTTTTTTTGTTTTAACCATGCTCCTGGCTGGCTGGTCACCAGCAGCATGGGGAAAGTGCTGTGCCTGCTGTGTCATGCTTCATCAGCAGTGATTGTAAGGACAGATAGCTGTCATGATGCTAAGCTCCCCTGGCTGTTTCCTCACCCCTGGATTGGGTATGGTATATACAAGACAGAAATATTGACTGTGTAGCTAATCTCTTCTTGTAAATAACTGCCTGTGTTTTAGGAAGACTCACAGGGAATCAAAAGCATTTCTGTTGTTCACGTTTTAGATGATACACTTATGATGTTTTATAACAGGAGTCTGTAGGCTGGTCAGGAGAGGGATTTCAGGGAAAGAAGGTGCAGGCAGCTGTCTGAAGGCTGGAAAGTTTCAGTGTTTGCAGTATTCAAGCTGTTTTCAATTTAAAATATCTTTGTCTTCAAGATTTTCTGCTTAAACATTAGGACAAGCAACCCATTTGTATGTAATTTTGTGAATGACAGTTAATATCCCCGCATAACCCTCAGACTCCAAAAACTGGGTCTGTAAGATAAGTGCCAAGAAATCTACAGACAACTTTGAGGAATTGGTTTCTGTTCCTGTGCAAAGAACAGGTCAAAACCCCCTCCTATAGCAAGGCAGTGTTGTGTGTTTGAGCTGGAGTTAACCTTAGCCAATCAGCTGCAATGGATCCATCTGTCACGGGGATTTTAGCATGGATCCTCCTGTTGCTCTACCTGCCCCTCTGTTAGAAATGACTGTTTCCATACAAGGTGGCAGATGCAGATGTGTGCCTGAGCTAACCATCAGGCACTCAAGTTGCGACAGAGTAGGGACTAAAAGTAATGCCTTGGCCTCTGAACCAGCTGGCTGAGGACAGGCATGGATTTACTTCTGACACGTCCGCTGTGGCAGTGGTTGAACTCCAGAGCTGCTGGAAGTGAGCTTTCTTCTTGGTTCCAGACCTGCCATGAAAACAACCGCGGACAGTCTAGGAGCTCACCTCTCCCTCTGACCAGGAGGGATGGTGACTGATTGTCATTTAGGATGACATTTGGATTAGCAATTCCAGTAGGACTGATAAGGCCACTTGTTTATTCTCAACTAAAGCCATAAAAGGACTTATGTGAGACAACATTCCTGTATCTGTACACTCCCCGATGCCTGCTGGGCTCTTCCAGGGCAGGGTAGGTTAAGGGATGCAGCCCCCTTCCAGCCCCAGGAGCACATCCAGAGGAGAGATATGAAGCAGACACATTTTGGGTTGCTCAGCAGAAAACCTGCAGCAGACAGGGTAGGAACATCTTTGTCACAGAATAGTCTCCAGCCTCATGGTTAAAGAGCAGCTTTGAAACATCTCAAGGGAAGAAAATTGAAAATGGGTCTCCCATGTCCTGGGAGTATGCTGTGGAGATGGTAGAAACCTTTGCTGCCTTTGTGATGAACCCTTCGCAGAAGGTTGCTACTGGCAGGAGCTTCAACAGCACAAAATAGAGGAACAGTTCAGATCTGAACATAGTCGGATCTTTGCGTTCAATGCCTGCTGAAAGAGTGAGGTCTTCCTGGGCATGCACAGGACAGTCACCAGGGCTGGATGGTATGGACAGGGGAGCTAAGAGGGATGACACTGGGGAGTTTAAGGTAAAGTCATATGGAATTCCAGTATGATTAGGAGGTGGCTGCCTCCTACACTGGAGTTTTCAGGAACATGATTTTGGACTTGCATGCCTATATTTTCTGCTTAGGGTCCAAAAGCTCTTTTCGAGTCAGCTCATACAAGCTAAATATCCAAGGCAGCTGGTGCACTGGAGGAATTATCTGGGTAAATCTCAACAAGGGCACATGCTCAGCTGCCTCAGCCCTGATCTCATCACCAGATATGTGCTAGGCTGCTGAGAGCAGTTGTTAACCTCCCAACAAAGCTGAAAACATGCATCTCATTTCCTGACACCATCAGCAGAAGCTCCTGCCTTTACATTTCCACCACTGCAAACCCTCAACAGCTGAGTGTAAACAGTTTCATGTGTCATGGAAATAGAAGTAACAAAAAATGTGCCCTGTTAATTTTGGATTCGATTGATGACCAGGTGATAATTCCCAGCATGTGTCAACTACTTATGTTTCACCCTTCCAGCTTTCTCTGAATGTTTTGTTGCTTCTGTGATCTGGTACTAACAAGAAGCTTTGTATGAAGGTACTTCCCATGGAAAGGCCCGTTTCCTCCACTGGTAATACGTGTACTTTGCAGCAAGCTTTCCCTTGAAAGAAAAGGCACATTTTAAGGCAGGTAAATGGAGAGATGCAGTCACAATTAGAGCTCTACAGTTTCCAGCCATGTAAATATTTGTCATAGTTCAAATATTTTCTTCTTCCCATATGGATGAAATCCTAGCTTCAGAGTTATGGGAGTTTTTAGTAGTAAATGAGAGATTCAAAAATAGTCTTCTGCTCAGAGCATTTACATGGGCAGTAAGCTCTTGCTCTGCTTATTTCTAAACAGAGTCAAATCCAGACTCTCTTGTGCCAGGGAGGTACCTGGACACCAGACAACTGGCCGCTTAGGAAGTTGTTTCTTTTTTCTTCCCACTCTGTCAAAGTTTTCTGTATGAACCTTTTGCTGGAGCTGGGTTCCACTTTCAGGAAAACTTTTGGTTTTATTGAACTGCTGCTTTGTCAGATTTCCCAAGCAATTCTGCTTGCAAACACTGCCTAAAATTGAAAAAAAAATATTTTACTTCACGTGTCATTCTTTGAATTTTTTTATAATGGTGCAATAAATACCAGTTGTGATTTATAAACATGAATATCTTCGGTCTCCTCTCCTGCTTAACTGTTAAGCGTTATGCTTCTCTATTCTCATCCTGAGCTGCCATCTAACTGCAGCCCTTAGTCTTGCTTGTGGGTCTGGTTTCTGCTGATTTCTGGTCTGCAAACAACAGTGACCTTGATCCGAGAATGAATATTGCGTGTTTGCTCCAGTGACAGGTTTTCCTCAATAAAAGTCTCTCCCCAGGGCAGGAAGGGATTTGACGGAGCCCTCCCCTCAGGGTGGTGGCTCGGCACCATTTTCGGGGGTAGGCTCGGGCTGTGGGGAGCCCTGCACAGGTGCATGGCAGTGCCCACACACCCACATACAGACATGAGGACACTGGCTGATGCTGCACGTGCATTTTACTTCCACAACTTGGGCTCGCACATGAAGATGTGCCATTCTGACCGGTCCCTCACCCCTCCCATTGCCACGCCTTCCCTACCACTCCCTTCGCCCTGCACTCTGCGTGGCTTGCGACACTCCCTGGACGAAATTCCGCTGGAGCTCTCGCAAGAACTGGAGGCTTTCGCTGCTCCCGGCATGCCCTATGTTTCTTCTTCCCTGCAGCTGTCCTGAGGTGAGGAGTTGTGGCCTTCAACGAGCCGTCCCAATCCGCCCCCATCCTGCTCAAGGTGCTCCGGGGAACCGATGAAGGGGCGAGGGCTTGAGGTCTTGGTCCGCCTGGCTTGGTCTGCTCCCCTGGCATTTGCAGGGGTGGTGCCAGGGAAGACGTTTAGAGGGTGGAGATGGCAAGTTTTGGGGTAGCTGGCTGGTGTGAGATGGAAGCAGGCCCTAGGGAGAGGCCATGGCTGTGGTGATGACTTTCTTAGGACACCTTTGGATTTAATTGTGCAAAGGCAACATAATTTCTGAGCAACTCCTGTAGTTAGTTATCGGTAGTAAGGTGAACAATCCAGAGAATCCCACGAAATGTGAGTTGTTTTTGTGAATGTTTGCATAGGACTTGACCAAAGCCATTGAGATTTTAATTCCAGAAGTTCATCTTTTTTTTCTCTGCAACCTGCAAGTCACGGGGATCCAACCTGCAAGTGCATTTCAAGGTAGGCAGCATGTGTATAGTAAGAAATGCAATTTCATATGGTTTCAGTTTGGTTTTGTTATTTTTTGTTCGGCATTTTTTGAAGGAAGTGTCTCTTATTCTGTATCGTTATGTGGTTACCTAAGGGTGGTAGTGTAGGTTATGACCTGTGTTTGCTTTACCTACTTGTAATGGCTTTCATCCACAGGATCAAAAATAAGAGATTGTGTCATAAAGACTAGGACACTCTGTAATACAGATAATAAAATACAATAGGAAAACAGTTACAGTGAATTTAGCAGGAAGAATGGGGGTAGTGTCAGATGTGAGATTTGTTTCATTTGTCTTACTTTGCCTTTCTGGTTGTTTGGAAGCAACATTGGATTCACCTGCTCATGCTGCTGGTCGAGAAGTATGGCAGGGGAGGCATGCAGTGTTTGGCATGAGGACATAGGTTCCTATGGTAAAGGTTTAGGTGTGCCAGTGAACTCAGGACATGTTTAAGTTAACCACAAAACCAAAGCTGAGCAGATGCTTTTCTGCTCCACAGAGGGGTATAATTCATGTGTAAAGAGATTTCACTTATCTTGATTTGCTTTTTTACTATGATCAGGTAGGATTATAGTTACTCTGACTTCTGCATTTAGTATATTGTCTTAAGCACTGATACTTAAACCTTAATTTTTATTTCTGAGCCTTTTCTTTTCTCCCCTTTATAATTCACTTACAGAGATACAAACAATTTAAGTATCTTGTTTTCTCATTACTTCCTCTGAGGTGCTATATTTGATGTTTTAGTAGGAATTTATCCTCCAGGCTCCTACTTCTTTAGATTAGTGGCCAAGGAGGAGCTACAAAAAGTATAAATACTTAAATTTTAATTTTGTTGGTTGGAAAAATGTAGCCATTAGGTAAAAAACAATAGCTGTGTTAGAGCTGCAAATTCAGTAATGGCAGTCATACCAAGGGTTAGAAAAGTAGGTAGTAAAAAAAAAAAAAAAAGTTTTTTTATTTATTCTTCATTCTTTAGTTTGGGGGGGGTGGGGGGCTGGGGTTTGTGTATGAGTGCTTCCTTTAAATTGAGTTTGTAGCAAAAATAATAGGATGCAGGAAAGAGAGAGGAGTGGTTTTGCTCATGTTGTAACTTGTAAAGATGTGTTAACAACTTCATTGTGTTCTGTATTGCTAGAACACTCAAGAGACTGCCCAGGCCATAAAGGGCGTGCACATCCGCAAGGCCACCAAGTACTTAAAGGATGTCACCTTGAAGAAGCAATGCGTTCCCTTTCGGCGCTACAATGGGGGAGTCGGTAGATGTGCCCAGGTGAGGTCTGAAATGAAAATGTGGGAAGGATGCTGTGGCTGGTTAAGAGAAAAAATGAGTTTGAGATGGTATGGAGAATAGTCTGTCATTGATGATAACCTTGTATTAAAATACAGAATCGTAGAATGTTTTGGATTGGAAGGGACCTTAAAGATCATCTAGTTCAAACTCCCCTGCCATGGGCAGGGACAGCTTTCAGTAGACCAGGTTGCTCAAGAGTTACTCTTAATTCGAGTACAGCATTGAATCTACTTACAGTGTAAAGTAATTGATCAAATTTAATTATTTTGTCATGCATTCTTAATAGAAGGGGATGTAATGGCAAGTTAACAGTGCCCGAAGGGTAAATTGTATTGTACTGGGACAAAAATGAAACTCTTTGTCATGGTTTTGCTGGTTCTTGGAAACTGGGCAGGAATTTTTTCCTTCCCCCTGTCCACTGCGTGCAGGGTTGTTAAGTGGGCACTTAAGGGACACAAAAGAAGTGACTTTCTGGTTAATTACTCAGAATCTTGTCTCCTAGAAAACAGAAAGGGGGGGGTGGGGATGACGAACTTCTCTTTACTTTTTTTCTTTCATCTCCTGGGAAATGAGGGGAGGAGTTTTGGGCTTGCGGTGGAGGCTGGAACAGGGTTGGAGTGGAAACTTGGTGGTTCTTTCTGTTCTCGGGCTGCTTGCCTGCTGTGGATCCTGCTTGGATTTCTAATCAGAGAGGAACTGTTTTCTGGAGGGTTTTTTTTTCCCCCTTCCCCATTCCCATTTGTTTCTTTCCCGGTGGTGGTTCTTTGCATGTCAAGGGGAGAGGGAGGACTGCGTCACGTGATTCAACCAGCCGAACAGAGTGAGTTTTGTTTTTTTTTTTTTTTATTGGGAAGGACTTTTTTTTTTTTTTTTTTTTCCCCCCTCTCTTTCTCCCCTTTCCCAGTGTGTGGGGGAGGGGAGGGAAACCTATTTTTTTTGGTTTCTCCAACACACCCCGGAGGGTGTTACCCCCACGTGGCAACGACCAGTGATCCCGCAGCGCCCCCTGATGGTCAACATATAGAACTGCAGGCTCTACATCTCGAGTGATCCAACAGCGCCACCTGGTGACTGGTACAGGACACTACAAGCTCTGCATCTCCAGTGACACAACGGTGCCCCTTGTTGACTGTGGTTAGAATTGCACCAAAGGGTGCAAACTGAATTGTTTACCTTTTTTTTTCTCTTTATTTGTTTATTGGTGTGTTTTGAAGGGGATTATTTGTGGGTATAGGAGTACTGTTTGGTTGTTTTACTTGTTTTCTTAAGTTGTTTCTGCCAATACACACAAACCTTTTAATAAAGGGCTGTTATTTTTCCCTTTTCCATAATTTTTTTCCCTCAATCTAAACCTCTTAATTTTGGATTTATAATTGCTTAGAGGGAGGAGTTTGGGTCTTTTTCTCATAACTCATCCTCAGCAAAACACCTGTGTCTCATTTAAACTGGGACACTCTTATTGTCTTCTTCCAGGCCAAGCAGTGGGGCTGGACACAGGGACACTGACCCAAGAAGAGTTCAGAGTTCTTGCTGCACATGCTCAAAAATGCAGAGAGAAATGCTGAGCTCAAGGTAGGCCACATCAGTGTTACTGAATGCAAAGTGTTCATACTGTGTGTCAGCACTCCTGAACTGGGTGTCTCTTATGTGCAAGACCAGGTAACGCCTACTTTGTCAATTGTGAGAAATAAAGGACCGGTTTTATTATAAGCAGATAAAATAGACAAGATTACTAACATAAAGTTATGTTTGTTTTTGGCTTATTACTAACCTTTAGGCATACCGCGAAAGTTGTAAGGCATGCAGTTGAGTCTCAAAATGTATGTCAGGGACCGACTGGATGGGAATAGGGAGATTACATATTAGCTGAAAATAAAGCTGACTCAGTCTTATGCCACGTGGTTGGCCATGCGGGCACATTAGGCTTCCATGTTGCTGGAAACTCCGCCCCTGGCATGAGGGGGGGCACCGAAGAGCCAATCCCCCCCATGATGTAAACAGAGTTAGACCTTAAGGATGTTAAAAAGGTGGGGATTTTGAATCAAAAGGCATGCTCTAGGAAACTTTGGGACGTGAGTACCCAACATGGGTTGTAATTAAATTTTCCTACTTATATAGTTATTTTCCTTGTTCTGTGGATTCTTTTTCATTGCCATAAATTCAATAGACAGGGATTTTTCCCACAGTTTGGGGGCTCATCTGGGATCCAAGTCCTCCGACCATGTCTGAGACCCCGGTGCTCCTGGATGGCACGCCCCACCTTTATTTTGGCGACCCGGGAATCTGGGATCTCTCCAGGACCAGCAGCGACAAGAATCTAGGACGGATTACCACAAAACAAAGAAAAACAAAAAAAAAGGGGCCAGGGAGCCAAGGACCGGGACGGGGGGGCCTCACCGGGAGGTCAAGGGCCTGGGCGGGTTGCACAGGAGCCGAGGGCTGGTCCCAGGAGGCAGCAACAGCGCCAGATGGCAGCACCGGGCAACGGGCTGCGCCGAGGGGTGATGCTGGGGGGCGGTGCCGGGAGGCAGAGCTGTGGGGGGCGTACCGGGACCGGGGGTGGCACCAGAAGGCGGCACCGGGCCAGTGGGTGGCCCTGGGAGGCAGTGCCAAGCCAGGGGGCAGCTCCGGGGGCAGAACCGGGGGCGGTGCAGCCTTAAAATAACCCTAATACACCTGTATTATTATTACCATTAAACCTAAAAAGATACTGTTATAATGGGTGGGAAAACAAGTAAAGAAACTAAAGGAAAAGCCTCCGATAATCCTCATGATAGCCCCTTAGGGAGAATGCTGAGTGGCTGGGAGAGAAGGAGAAGGACTCGAGGGAAGAGTAAAGCTAAAATGATTCAATATTGTATGTACGAGTGGAGGAAAGAGCCAATAAGGTTAGATTGGGTCTTTTGACCTCAATTTGGATCATCAGAAGGATGGTTATGTCAAGCATTGAAAGAGTATGTGGATGAGAAGGAGTCATCTGACCCTGAAGAAAGTGCGTATGCTGCCTGCTGGGTGGGATCTGTAGGATTATTTCCAGTCTCTGTAGAAAACAGTGGAAAAAGTAGCCAGAAGAAAAAGACAGATCCTGGGTGGAACCCACTAGATATTGTCTCAGAAAATCCTCTTCCCTATAATTCGGAGGAGGATGAAAATGTTGAGGCACAGAGTCCTAACACAACCCCTCCTCCGAGTTCCCCCTGGACACGTGAGAGGGTCAGAAAGGCACAGCAGGTAACAACATCGGAAGAACTTTACCCTCTTAGAGAAGTTCCAAAGCAGGGGGCACAAGGGGGTGTAGGCTATGTAAATGTGCCATTAACTAACACTGAGGTACAGGAATTTGGGAAGGAAATGAAGAAGTTGTTAGAAGATCCATTAGGTTTGACCGAAGAACTTGATCAGTTTTTTGGTCCCAATATTTTCACATGGGATGGAGATGCAGTCTATAATAAAAACACTGTTCTCGACAGAGGAGAGAGAAATGATTAGAGCTG